TACTCTCCCCATGATTGTGAGTGTGTTTGTGAGAAGCTGTGATTTATTTGGAAATAACAGCAAGCGTTGTTGATTGGCAAGCATGCTTTATTTATTGTGAGACAGGCTACGGCACCTGCAAATCAACAGGGACTTTTATTAATTCCGTACACTGAATCCTAGACATTAACAATCGCAGCTGCTTCCCAGCATCACAGATGCAATAGAGCACAACAGCCCCAAGCAGAGCAACAAACATGATTGGTTTTCAACATTCAAGCTTCCCCGCAAGCCATCCCTGATTCTTATTGTGCCCATGTAGTGCCCCTTTAATAGCCCTCAAAATAAGCGGCCAGGTATTTCGTGTGGGTCGTCCTTTTGGGGCACGTAGAGCTGAAATCTCTCAAAGGCCTTTAGCCTACGTCTAGACTACATCTCTCTGTCAACAGAGGGATGCAAATCTAATGAAGCAAGGATTTAAATATCCTGAGCTTCATTAGCATAAACATGGCCGCCACTTTTTTTTTAAATGGAGTTTTTGAAAAAAAGGGAGTCTAGATGCGCATCTGTCGAAAATAAAGCCTTTTTTGACAGATCCTGTAAACCTCCGTTTCGGAAAAAAGTGGCGGCCATGTTTATGTTAATGAAGCGCGGGATTTTTAAATCCTGGCTTCATTAGCAATTTCAATGTGCCTAATCAACATCTCTCTGTCAACAGAGATGTGTAGTCTAGACACACCCTTAGTTATGGCAGCAGTCCTTGCAGTGTCTGAGCACCTCGTGAGATGGAACATGTAGAGCAGGGATCTTAACACCACTGGGCAGCCCCACAAGGCTCGAAAACAGCACTATGATCATCTAGTGCAGTACACCCTCTGGCTCTCAAGCCAAATATGGCTTGGTAAGGAACCAAATATGACTCTTCTGTCATTCCCAAAATCCACGCAACTTTTTACATTAAAATGAAAAATTAATTCAATTTCTTTTAAAAATGGGCAATTATTCACGGAGCTTAAATGTGTCATGAACCTGAATTTGACCGGTTGTGACATAAACGTCAAAGAACTGTGCGAAAAGATGCAGCAGCAGACGTTCCATGAAATAAAGTCTGGCAGTGCAATGTTTCAGCTGTGCTATTACAAACCATCATGTCAATTATCAGTAATATGAAGTTGTATATTTTCAGTCAAGTGGATAGGCGTTCTTATACTGGCTCTTTGTCGACCACTTCTTCGGAGTTTCAGTGTAGTTTGGCTCTTTGGTTTGAAAAGGTCACCGGCCTCAGATTTAGTGTCTGACCACTGGGATAGAACAGCCCAGAGGCCTGTCCCACAATAACTCCTAAGGAAGAACTGTTTGAACACCATTCTGGAATAATTTAACAATTGTCCATGCTGGAGAATCTGCCATGGCCTCTGGTAATTTCCCTCATTGTTAACCCCCCACACACACATCTTAGGGAATGTCTACACTAGCAGAGGTTGGGTATTTTGTTGGTGCTGGTGGTTGGTTTTTTGTTTTCTTTTTTGTTTTTGTTTTTTTGTGCCAAGGGTCTCAGGGTGCCATCTCTGACAAAAAGGAGCTGAAAGATAAACCTGAGCTGTGTGTTCATATTGCCTCCCATGGGCAGTGTACTGTTCACACTTGTGGCGCTTACCTCAACAAAGACAGAAGTACACTGTGGGTAGCTATCCCACAATCCTCCTCTCCCTTCTGTTGCTAGGTTTTGTGGGAAGGCTATGGGGCATCATGGCATGCACTAAGTATGGTGAGTCTATGTAAACAACACCAAGCAGATTTGAACTTTGGACTGCTGGAGCTACAGTGTTGGAGCTATAAAGCCAGCAGCTGCTCATCCTGGGCTGTGGAGCTCCCTTGTTCTTATCTCTCACTGTAAGTGGTCTAAGTGCCACTGCATGGGACAGTGATCTACAATAGCTGTGTGGGTTACACCTAGGCTCAGCACCCCAGGATGAACTACTTTCTGTCACAGCATTCATTGGGTTTCCATCTTATGTTTGAGGCATATTTCACCAATTCTAGCTTTCTATATTCCCCACCACATCTCTCCGTGGGAATTAATGTCACGGAGCTTCACTCTGATCTGCTGGGTCTCACTAACCCCTCCTGAGAGCCAGGGGAGTCATTCCTGGCATTACCAAGGCAGCACGAGATTGCTTTCACAATCCACAGAGGTGGTGAGCAGAGCAGAGCCCCCCTCCGGGGCGAAGGAAACAAGTGGAGAGTGGAGTGGTTGCATCGCTTTGCAGGCCTAGGAGGATGAGCACTGGCTGCAGAACTTTTGGATGCAGAAAGTCATCTTCCTGGCACTGCTTCCTAAGCTCAGCCCAGTGGAGAAGTGGGTGGAGATCAGAGGAGGGAAGCTGGCAGCTCCAGACTGCTAGTAGTTGATGGCGAAGCTGTTTGGGGTAGGAAAGTCGGTCCTAGGGGCTGTGTGAACACAAGGGAGGAACAATTGTCTTTCCAATCTGGCAAAGAAAGTTATAACATGGTGTGTCTGACTAGCCTTTCCCGGGACTCCCGCATTCATCATGTCTCTGACATGACTCAATCACAATCTCCTGGCTGTGGATTGGGGGAGGGAAAGGTGGGTATCTGTGCCCCTTGAACAGTCCCTGTCCACAGCTGAGGCAGGACCATGGATCACACAGGAGCACTGTTTACATAGAGCCCAGAATATCTGCCTTCCATTAGAGTATGGCAGCCAGCTGGTTTGGATCTGTCACAGAGGACAAACAATTGAAGGCAGTTTCTCAAAAAGATATTATTAGAAGCAAAAGAGCAATCCATCCCCTGCATAGGAAAAATAAGCAGTATCTCAAGAGGCCACCCTGGCTTAATTAGGAGCTCTTGGATGATGCAAAAATTTTAAAAAAACTATAAAAAGTGGAAACTAGGTCAAATTATAAAGGATTAATATAAACAAATGGCTATAGTGTGTAAGGGCAAACGTTGAAAGGCAAAGGTGCAAAACAAGCTCAGTCTAGCTAGAGACATAAATGGTAACAAGAAAACATTCTACAAATGTATTAGAAGCAAGAGGAAGACCAAGGACTGGGTAGGCCCATTGCTCAGTGAAGAGGGAGAAAGAATAATAGATAATGTGGAAATGGCCAAGGTAGCTAATGACTTCTTTGTTTTGGTTTTCACCAAGAAGGTTGATGATGACTAAACAGCTAACCGCGCGAATGCCAATGAAAATAGGGAAGGTTTGGAAGCTAAAACAGGGGAAAAGCAAGTTAAAAATTATTTAGACAAACTAGAAGTCTTCAAGTCACCAGTAACAGTCAGCATAGATTTGTCCAAAACAAATCTCATCAAACCAACCTTATAGCTTTCCTTGGTAGAATAATAAGCCTTACGGATGGGAGGAAGCAGTAGATGTGATATATCAAGACCATAGTTAAGCTTTTACTAATGTCTTCCATAGCCATTCACAGTGAGTAGTTGTCAATAGTTCAGGGTCACGCTATAAGTGCTTAATGAGTGGGATTCTGCAGGTATCAGCTCTGGGAATGGCTTCATTCAAAAATATTAACCAATGATTTAGATAATGGCATGGAGAGTACATTTATTAATGTGTGGATGATACCAAGCTGGGAGGGGTGGCATGTGGTTTGGAGGATAGGGTCATAATTCAAAATGATCTGAACGAAGTGAAGAACTATTCTGAGGTAAATAGGATGAAGTGTAATAAGGACAAATGCAAAGTACTCAACTTAGGAAGGAAAAATCAGTTTTACACATACAAAATATAAAATGACTGTCTAGGAAAGAACACTACAGAAATGGATCTGGGTGCATAGTGGACCTAAATATGAATCAACTCTGTGACACTGTTGCAAAAAAAAAAAAAGGCAAACATCCTTCTGGGATGCATTAACAGGAGTGAGGTGAGGAAGACACGAGAAGTCATTCTTTGGCTCTACTCTGTACAGATTAGGTCTCACCTGGAGCACTGTGTCCAATACTGGGAGGCACATTTCAGGAAGGATGTGGACAAGTTGGAGAAGGTCCAGAGAAGAGCAACAACAATGATGAAAGGCCGAGAAAACATGAGCTATGAAAGAAGACTGACAGAATTAGAATAACGATAGAGATGTAGCCGTGTTAGTTTGGTCTAGCTGAAACAAAAGACAGAACTATGTAGCACTTTAAAGACTAACAGAAGATGAGCAAATGCAGAGTCTTGGATTTACACCATTCCCGGGAAGATAGACTAACAAGATGGCTACGAATGCTCATCACCTAATAGACCATCTTGTTAGTCTTTAAAGTGCTACATAGTTCTAAAAGAATTAGGTTTGTTTAGTCTAGAAAAGAGAAGACAGAAATGAAAACAGTTTCCAAGTACCTAAGGGTATGTCTACACTACCCTGCTAGTTGAAACTAGCGGCGTAGTGTAGACATACCCACAAAGAGTGTTACAAGGAGGAAGGAGAAAAACTATGCCCCATAACCTCTGATGATAGGACCAGAAGCAATGGGCTGCAATTGCAACAAGGGAGGTTTATATTGGATATTAAGAAAAACTTCCTAACTGTCAGGGTAGTTAAACATGGAAATAAATTGCCTAGGGAGATTCTGGAATCACTACAATTGGAGACATTTAAGTGGAGGTTAGATGAACACTTGTCAGGCATGGTATAGATGGAGCTTGGTCCGGGACTAGATGACCCCTTACGGATCCTTCCTGTTCTATAATTCTCTGATTCTGAGTGAGGGGTGAAATATGGAGAGTCTTGGGCTCCACATGGTGGCTCTGGCTCTCTGGGCAGCTCTTGCAAAGTACCGGCTCCAGCTTCCAGTCTGGGGAGTTGGCAGAATCTGGGCTGAGTGGAATAATATAGGTGGTGCCTTGGAAGAAGAGATGGGGCAAAGGAAGGGTTTTCAGGGGGAAATGATCCAGGAAGGAATATGGGGCCAATCACCTATCGTCAATCATTATGTTTTTCATCTATTATGTGTCTGGTCCTGAAGATGCATGATGAATGGACCGTTCACTTGAAGAATGCCCTGATTATCTTCGCACGAAGGTGTTTGCTTTTCACGCTGTACACGACTGGATTTATCAGGGGTGGCACCAGCAGGTAGATGTAGCCCAGGAGAATCTGAAGCACAAGAGAAGAGCTGTTCCCGAATCTGTGAGTCACAGCCAGGCCAATGACAGGTACGTAGAAGAGCAGGACGGCACAGAGGTGGGAGACACAAGTGTTCAGGGCCCTGAGGCGTTCCACATGAGATGCAATGCTCAGCACTGTTTTGAGAATCATTATATAAGAGAGGAAGATGAGCAGTGAGTCCAACCCAAACGTGAAGAGTGCAGTACACATGCCATAGATGTTGTTGACGGTGATGTCTGCACAAGCCAACTTCATGACGTCCTGATTCAGGCAGTAGGAATGGGAGAGGATATTGGTTCGACAGTATCGGTAGCGTCTCAGAAGAAGGGGGAATGGGAATATTATGGTGACCCCTCTTAGCATACATGCCAGTCCCATCTTGGTTATTCTAGGCAGGGTTAAGATGGACGCATATCTCAGAGGATCACGGATCGCGATGAATCGGTCAAAGGCCATCAGCAAGAGCACAGAGGATTCAATTAATGAAAGCGAGTGGATGAAGAACAGCTGGGCAAAACAAGCATCACGGCTGATCTCCCTAGAGTTAAACAAAAATATGCCCAGTATCGTTGGCATGGTGGATACCAATAAGCCAATGTCTGCAATAGCCAACATAGAAAGGAAAATGTACATGGGCTCATGGAGGCTTGGATCTGTTTTTATAATGAACAGAATGACTAAATTTCCTACTATCGAAATAACATATATAAAAAAGAAGGGAATGGAGACCCAGAAATGGACGTTTTCCTGCCCAGGTATTCCAGTGAGAAGGAACACTGAAGATTGGAATTTGGTATCATTGACAGCTGACATGATTACTCAAGAGTTCCAAGGAGTTTTGAACTTTTCTTCCTAAAAGGAGAAATAACAAGAGACTAGAAGATATTTAAGGAGACATACTTATGTCCTCTCAGGAGCTCAAAGAAGATGAGCAAATGCAGAGTCTTGGATTTACACCATTCCCGGGAAGATAGGCACTGCCAGATTGGATCCAAACTGCAGTCCATGAAACCCAGTATCCACTGGTCAGTACCAGATGTTTCAGAGGAAGGTGCAAGAAACCCTGCGATAGGATGCTATTCTATTTCCACCTAACGCTGAAGGTATGTAACTTAATTAGACTTTTGCCCTGCTGTACAGATGTGCCCTTGGTGTGAAGCAGCCAAGAATGCTGTAGATTTACACCAGAGCTAGCCCACACTAATTGTTCATCTGAGAACACTTTGTATGAGTCCTGGGCAAATTCTGCAGGCTGTACCTGGAGGAGGAGCCAGAGAGCTAATTGAAAGCAGGCTCACCTGGGCAGGAACAGCTGAGGCCTATGAAGTCAGGGAGCTAACAACAGAAGGAGACTACTGATGGGAAAGGTCAGCCACTCCTTTGGAAGAAGTGTTTGGAGGCTGCAGAGGTATGCAAGCTGCACCAGTGCCAATAAAGAGATAGGAAGTAGGAATAAGAGATCCTCCGGAAAAGGCTTTATTTTCTGGAGAATCATGTCTAGACTGGCGCTTTTCTCCGGCTTATCCCCAAGCCGGAAAAAAGCGGCAGCCATGTAAATGCAAATGCCGTGGGGGATATTTAAATCCCCTGCGGATTTGCAATTGTGATGTGTCTCATTAGCATCCCTTTTCCGGAAAGGGGTGCCAATGTAGTCACAGCCCAGTACTTTAGCACACATATATCAACCCCTTTTCTCCCCTCTGATCTTCATTCACGCTTTGTCCACACTACGGAGTTTTTTCGGGATACTGGAGGAATGCAGAATTTTTTTTGGAAGAGCAGACGCGCTCTTTTGGAAGCCCTGTAAACCTTGTTTCACAAGGAAGAAGGGCTCTTACGAAAAAGGAGGTTTTTTCGAAATTTGGCCCAGTGTAGACAGACCAAATTTTGGAAAAGCCTCTTCTGAAAAAAGAATAGGGAAAAGGTACACAAATTGCAGAGCGAAATTTGCATACCTTTTTCCAAAGAAGAAGTGTAGCGTAGACATAACCTCAGAGGTAATGTCTCAAACTAGACTGAGATGGAGAATGTATCATCTGTCATCTAGATTTCCTCAGAACCTGGACTGAGCACAGTGTCTCAGCCCTCAATCAGCAAATATATCTCTAGTAGCTTCTCTGTCCTAGGGTTAAGCTCGGAATTCCTGCCATCACAGTCAAGCCAGGGAAGAAAACCTTTGACAAGGCATTTGTGATTTAAGTGTTCAGGTGTGAGCAAATCTGAAGCAATTTGGGAACAAGTCACTGATATTCTGTGGGGGTCTCCTCTTGTTTAGTGCCTGGTAGGATCAGGCCAGGAGCACAATGCACTTCCAGAAATTGTGACCTCTTAACATCACGGGGCACTTTCAATGTGAGATTTTCAGCAGCTGCAGTGAAGCTTGGACAGATGGAGGGGAAGGTTCCCAAGCTGCCTAGCACTGCTTGCCCTCCATCCCCATCACTGAGTCACCCCGACAACCCAGCGGAGTCGTCTGCCGCTGCACAGAACATCTGCCAATGCAAACAGCCTGCAGCCTTCGCCCTGCACTTGGCATGTTACAGACAGTGAAACCTGCCAACGTACCCAGTTCCTGCTAGAAGGAGCTGCTGGCACCAGAGGTCTTGACTTGAAAGAACAAGGAGTCACCGGAGAGGTTGCACGGGCAGCAAGCAGTGTTGTTCAGCTAGGGAGGCAACTGCCTTTATGCAGCATGTTTGTACCTTCCCTTGGGGCCACTTAGCCATCAGGGGAAATTCAGCTGCATGTCTAGTGTGTTGTCAACACCTCTAACATTAACGTGGAGGTGTGGCAGCATTTTAAATGAGAGTGTGGCCAGGGAAGAAGTGTTGGGTGAGAGCTCTCCCAGCACTGCGTGTGAACCATCTCTGTGAGGGGAATAGCTAACAGCCCTGGGCATGCAACCCCCGGCCCTTATGCCTGGTTGACGTTGACACTTTACACTGCAGTAATTTGCTGTGCTCTGGTGGGGATGTCTTTTTTCCCACCCCTGACTCAGAAGGATGGTTGAGGGCTAATCCAGCTAGGAGCTAATCCAACTAGGATGGATGTGGGCTAATCCAAATAGGCTGCGAGCTAATCCAAGTAGGAGCAGGATTGACTTTGTCTTTGTGTGCACCAGCTTTAAACCCCACCATGTCCAGTGGCGAACTGCAGGGAGCCAGATCACAGGGGATGGGGGGGTGATAATACCCATATGGACAGCAAGGCCAGCCCAGCTACAGGCTGTTCCTAGAATCCAGGCGTCTCAGCACTGCTTGTATGGTTCTGATCAGTCAGATGGCTCCCTCAGGGGCGGCCAAGTTGTAACAGTGACACTGTGCTAACTGTGATCTTGATGAAATAATAACAATTATAATAATAAACAACCTGATTTCTCTCCAGCAGCCCCATTTCCTGTATTAGAAAGCCAGGGTACAGGCTGCAGAAGGGACATTCCATGGAAATTTCCCTGGGATCTTTACATTAGGGAGGTCGCTTGTGTTCTCCATGAAGAATGAAAGAGAGGATCCAGGGATCCCCAAAGTTACACACAGATCTCAGTGATCCACTGGTAGTTAGGCCCAGCCACCCACAATCTCTGGGCCTCCACAGCTGTTCTAGGACCTTCTCCAGCCCCCAGCTAGCACAGGCTGATCACAGATGTGCTACCAGCAGCCACTGCCTGTCACAGAAGCCACTGCCCCGAGGATCTGCTGAAGGGGCTGGTTAGAGTTGCTGATGGGCCCACTACCTCAGCTAGAGACTTATCAATATGTTTCAACATTTCCATACCCAGAATACAGCCATAGACTCCCTCAGAGCCACGTTTGCTTCTGAGGGAGAGGAAGACGCAAAACCTCCCATTACTTATGGGGCTCCAGCTGTTGTAGCTGGGCTTTTGCAACTAGCCACGTTTGCTTCTGAGGGAGAGGAAGACGCAAAGCCTCCCATTTCCTATGGGGCTCCAGCTTTTGTAGCTGGGCTTTTGCAACCCACCCAATTTCTGGGAGTGATCCACCGTCCCATCAAGTGGCCCTGGAGCCACTGGGAGAGAGGAGTAAATGTGTTCTACAGCCTTAGCTGAGATCACGCTGGCTTTTCTGGACCACTGACCCTGCCCCCCTGCTTCTGCCTCACCTGCTTTGGGGGCTGGCGTCTTCACTAGCCTTCCTCTTGTTCCCTACTTCCCTGCTTTGGTCACAGAAGTGAGCCTGTCATGGTCTCACAGGCTGGAACTCCCTCCAGTATGACAGCCCCTTCTCGGGGAGTCCTTTCCACCCCTCTGCTTCCAGGTCAGTGCCTCTCAGGGCCTTCAGCCTGTCTCTGCCATGGGTCCCCTCCGGGTGCCCACTCGCCCTGGACCCACAGGGCCTCCACGTCCTGGGGAAATAGTGTAGCCCTGTCCTTCAGACCAGAGCAACTCTCATGCAGCGTCAAACAGGAGAGTTTATTGAGCTTTGAACACAGCAAAGGTACCCTGAGGCCTGTCAGCCTGACCCCCCTCAGCCTGGCATGTCTGAGTCTGCCCTGTCGCCAGGTGGGCTCTGCCTAATTCTTCACTGTCCCATTCCGAAGACCCCCTTCTTCCAGCTGAGCATCCAATACCCTCTACAGCAGCTCCTCCCCTGTCCATTGCCTTCTACCTGCTGTATAGGCACATCTACATTAGGAAATCCTGCTTCGGACTAATTTTCAGGCTTCTTTGCAGTGTATTCAACATATGCTATTTCAACATATGCTATTTCAGAATAACTATTCCGGAATAGCTTATGTTGAAATAAGTGGGCAGTATAGATGTACCCTCAGTATACAGATAGTTACCTAATATAATAGCATACTCACATCACCTTCTCCCGGAAGACTGAGCATGGAAAGACCAGCCTCCCTCTGCTGGTGGGACTTTGGTGCAGAGTGGAATATGGAAAACTTAAAAGCTAAGACTTAGAAAGAATAAATAAAGCACAGAGCTTAGATGAGAGAAAGACATTATGGATTAAGCTTCTTTATTCCCATAGCTTTTGTCCCCCTTTTTGCATCACTATGGTTGCCTTCACAACCATAACCAGAATTCACACCCTGAGACTTTGTCGATACACATACTTGATCAGATGGTGATATCTTTTGAATATGCATGAATTAAATCATCTGATGCCCCCTTGGATCCATTCCCACACATGGAAAAAGCGGAAGCTTTGTGGTTAGGTGCACAAGGCCTGTTTCCTTATTTCAAAATGGTGGCTAACTGGATCTTGCCATTCTGGACTTATTTTAGGTCTCATGAGGCACTGAGTCACAGACCCCATCTGTGTACTGACCCAACTGAAAATTTTGCCACAAGGTTTTTTGTAATTTCTAAAAAGGTATGAAGGAAATATAATGTCTAGAAGATAAATTAACCATTACTTATCACACTATACTACTGTTAAAGCCAAATCATACAAGATAAGCCAAGTCCTGCAGACCTTGTATTTCTGGCATTACCATTAAAATCTTGAAAAATGAATAGCATGGGAATAGATATAGCTTGGCAGGCTATAGTGGTCATATGAGCCTGTATCAAAAGATTTACCAAAATCCTGATATACCAGATCTACTGCTTACCCCCATCCACAAGACTTATTATCCCACTAAAGAAAGCTATCAACTTGGTTTGACAAGATTTGTTCTTGGGAAATCCATGCATACTGTTACTTTTAACCTTATCATTTTCTAGATGTTTGCAAATAGATCCCTTAAATATTTGCTCCAATATCTTTCCTGGCCCAGAAATTAAGTTGACTGGTCTGTAATACCCTGGGTTGCCCTTATTTCCTTGTTTATATTTGGGTGGGACATGTGCCGATTTCCAGTCTTCTGGAATATCTCCCATCTTCCATGTCTTTTCAATGATAATAGTTAAATTAGTTTAACTTCTGTGCCAGGGAAGATAATGGAGCAAGTAATTAATGAAGATAATAAGATGATAGGTAACAGCCATCATGGATTTGTAAAGAACAAATCATATCAGACCAATCTGAGAACTTTCCTTGATAGGATATCAAGCCTTGTGGATAAGGGAGAAGTTATGGATGTGGTATACCTAGACATTAGTAAGGCATTTGACATGGTCTCACATGACCTTCTTATCAATAAACTAGGGAAATGCAACTTAGATGGAGCTACTGTTAGGTGGCTGCATAACTGGCTGGATAACCATTCTCCAACAGTAGTTATTAATGGTTCATAATCATGCTGGAAGGGCATAACAAGTGGGGCTCTGCAGGGGTCTATTTTGGGACCAGTTCTGTTCAATATCTTCATCAATGATTTAGATGATGGCACAGAGAGTATGCTTATTAAGTTTGCAGATGATACCAAACTGGGAGAGGTTGCAAATGCTTTGGAGGATAGGGTCAACATTCAAAATGATCTGGACAAACTAGAGAAATGGTCTGAGACAAACAAGATGAAATGTAATAAACTTTAATAAGGACAAATACAAACTACTTCACTTAGGAAGCAACAATCAGTTTCACACAGAGAATTGGGAGTGATTGTCTAGGAAGGAGTACTGCAGAGAGGGATCTAGGGTTCATAAGCATGAATCAACACTGTGACACTGTTGCAAAAAAATCAAACATGATTGTGGGATGCATTAACAAAAGTGTTGTGAGCAAGACACGAGAAGACATTCTTCCACTCTACTCTGCACTGATTAGTCCTCAGCTGGAGTATTGTGTCCAATTCTGGGCACTGCATTTCAAGAAAGATGTGGAGAAATTGGAGATGGTCCAGAGAAGAGCAACAAAAATGATTAAAGGTCTAGAAAACATGAGCTCTGAGAGAAGATTGAAAGAATTGGGCTTGTTTAGTTTAGAAAAAAAGAAGATAGAGAGGGGACATGATAGCAGCTTTCAAGTATCTAAAAGGGTATGTCTACACTACCCTCCTAGTTCGAACTAGGAGGGTAATGTAGGCATACCGCACTTGCAAATGAAGCCCGTGATTTGAATTTCCCGGGCTTCATTTGCATAAGCCGGGCACCGCCATTTTTAAATCCTGGCTCGTTCGAACCCCGTGCCGCGCAGCTACACGCGGCACGGACTAGTTAAAGATCCTAATTCGAACTACCGTTACTCCTCGTGGAATAAGGAGTAACGGTAGTTCGAATTAGGATCTTTAATTCGAACTACCTACTCTGTGCCATGTGTAGCTGCGGGCACAGAGTTCAGACTAAGGAGGATTTAAAAATGGTGGTGCCCAGGAACATGCAAATGAAGCCCGGGATATTTAAATCCTGGGCTTCATTTGCAACTCCACTTGTCCTCATTACCCTACCTAGCTCGAATTAACGAGCTAGTGTAGACATACCCAAAGGGTGTTACAAGGAGGAGGGAGAAAAATTGTTCTCCTTGGCCTCTGATGCTAGGACAAAAAGCAACGGGCTTATACTGCAGCAAGGGAGGTTTAGGTTGGACATTAGAAACAAGTTCCTAACTGTCAGGGTGGTCAAACACTGGAATAATTTGCCTTGGGAGCTTGTGGAATCTCCATCACTGGAGATATTTAAGAGCAGGTTGGATAGACATCTGTCAGGGATGAGTTAGATAGTGCTTGGTCCCACCATGAGGGCAGGGGACCTCTCAAGGTCCCTCCCAGTTTTAGGTTTGTATGATTCTAATGGCTCAGATACTCTGCAGCCAGCTCCCTGAATATTGTAGGATGCTTTGCCTCAGGCCCTGGTGACATGAAGACATCTAATTTGTGTACATTATTTTTAACTCGCTGTTTCCCTGTTTTAGCTTCTGAACCTACCCCACTTTCACTGGTGTTCACTATATCAGTCATCCGATCACCACCAACCTTCTTGTTAAAAACTGAAACAAAGAAGTCATGACGCACCTCCGTCATTTCCACATTTTCTGTTATTGTTTCTCCTTCTTCATTGAGCAATGGGCCTACCCTGTTCTTAATCTTCCTCTTGCTTCTAATGTATCTGTAGAATGTTTTCTTGTTACCCTTTATATCTCTATTTGCATTCAGTTCATTTTGTGCCTTCACCTTTCTAATTTTGCTTCTACATACTTGTGCTATTCGTTTATATTCATCCTTTGTACTTTGACCTAGTTTCCACTTTTTCTCAGACTCTTTTTTTGATTGTTAGATCATTCTAAATCTCCTGGGTAAGCCAGGATGGTCTCTTGCCATATTTCCAATCTTTTCCGTAGAGTAGAATAGTTTGCACTTGTGCCTTAATAATGTCTTTTTGAAAAACTGACAACTGTCTTCAGTTGTTTTTCCTTTTTGATTTACTTCCTATGGCATCTTGCCTACCAACTCCCCGAATTTGCTAAATGTCCCCGCTTGAAATCCATTATTGTTATTTTGTTCTTATGTGACCGTGGTCAAATCCCTTAGTCGATTGGTGCCTTGGGCCTTGTCTACACTGGCAATTTTGTCACCAAAACCTGCGTTTTGGCAACAGAACTGTGAGAGTGTACACACTAGAATGCAACATTTTTCTTGGAAAACACTCAGTTTTGTCAACAAAAATCTTCTACCCCATGAGAGACTTCTGTCTTTTCCCCTCCCTTTATTGTCAACAAAGAACCAGTGTGGACTCTGCTGTTTGTTTTGTCAAGAGACATGCCTTCCACCAGTATCCCACAATGCTTGCCCTGATGGCTGTGCTCAGTGTTCTATAATCTCTGCTGCTCTGCAGGCATGCAGCCCTCCCCTTTCAAAGCTCCAGGAAGTACCTGGCAGCTGAGTGAGCTGCTCCATTTGGGGAACAAAGAAGAAATCATTGATATGCTCCTGTTCTGCCATGCTAGGAATACAGCAGTAGACAGGTTGCTGCTTGCAGTGGGAGGGCTGGCGAGGCTGCTGTGTTGCTTTGACATGTCTCACAATGGAGAGCTCACAGAACTAGGAGGGAATCCTAAGAAGCACAGGAATCAGCTCTGCCTCCCCACAACACTTCACTGTGAGATGCTTACCCATGTTGCTTTGCTCTATCTGTTGACAGGGTGCTATCAATGTGGCCATGGAATGTCGACAATGGGCGACAGAAAATCCAGTTTGATCAGTTTTTCACAGTTGTTGACTTTTCCACGACAACAGCACTTTCGTCCCCAAACCTTCCCAGTGTTGACATAACCTAAGACCATGGTGTCCATCCAGTTTGGCTACTGCTATAGCAAACTGGCCACACTCAACTAGCCAAATAGCCACATGTGACTAGTAGCTAATGTGTTGGACACCATGGACCTAAGAAAATTCTTGGTTTCCTTGCAGCCATTCTGATGGGGAAAGGGGCCTTTTCCCAAAGGAATGTCAGTAAATATTCCAGGTAAAGAAACAACCTGATTTAAATCATTTGACTGTCAACAAATTGCATTAGAAAACAAGCCAGAAAGCATCTACATGGATGCCAATTACCTAGCAGACAGAGGAAGGAGAGAACTGCCCATAAATGACAGCACAAGGAGGCTGGTCAGTAAACAAGCCACCAGAAGTGTCAGAGAGGTGGCCCTGTTTGTCTGTTTCTGCACAATCAAGGAGGAATCCCTGGGCACCTTAAAAACTAACATTGATTTGGGCGCAAGCTTTCACGGGCAAAGACCCACTTTGTAAAATCAGAAAGAAGTGAATACACATTTAAAATGTAGTTACAGCTACAAAAGGTGAAAGCAGCATTGTGCTATGGACCCTGGAAACCGCCCTGATCTTAGAGTCCCAGAGTATCAGAGCACCTTGAATGTATTTAGCCCCCTATCCCTGCCGTGCGGCAGGGCAATTATCCGCCTGTGCAGAGGCTCAGAGACAGGCAGTGGCTTGCCCCCAGAGACAAGGAATCAAAGCCAGCTGTCGTGAGTCACAAAGCACAGACCACAGGGCCAGACTTCCAGGCACCTGCGCAGTGATGGGCCTGGCTAAATTCTATGCTGCTCCAGCAGATCTCTCCTCTGTGCTACAGATACCAGAGTCAATTATAGGGACTACATTCACTGGCCTCTTCTGGAGACTGGACTGACATCAGACCATTGGGAAGAGCTTCCAAGAGCACAGCACACTCGGGCCAAGTCCCTGAGAACCAATGCTACCCCAGGGCATCTCCTTCAGGCCTGAGGTAACCCTGAGCACACACAGGCCTTCCCTCTGAGACCCTTGCAAGGATTCAACCTGAGATACCTAAAAGAGGAGTCCCTATTGTGAGGTCACTTTAATTCAGGTTTCCCAAACACATGGGTGCTCTGGCGTACTGACTCCATCTTCCTCCTTTACTTAGGAACACCCCCATGACCCTCTTTGCCGGGTTGGTGTTTGTTCAAACCCCCTATGAGCTTTCTTTTTCTGAAGCCCTGCCCCATGCCACAACCCTTCCGACTAAGCCCTGCCCCTACTCCTCCACTTTCCCTGATGCTCTGCTTCCAGCCAGGCCAGAGTTGAGCCAGTTTCAGAGCTGCCAGTGAGGCCCAGGCTGCTGTGGGGAGGCCTGGACTCTCTGCCTTCCCTAGGTTGTACATCTTGGGGGTAGGGGATGAAGGAGAGTAAATATGGGGACTCCAGGACTCCTCACAGTCCCTCCAGTTCTCTGAACAGCTCACATAATGGCCTAGCTCTGACTTACAGTCCAGGGTTGTAGCAGAGTTGGGCACAGTATAGTTGGGCAGAAAAGATGGGGCAAAGGAAGGGGCTTCAGAGGAGAAGGATCCAGGATGGAATGGGTGGCCATGGACATCAATCATGGTTTTCATCTCCTGTGTCTCCCACCCTGGAGACGGATGATGAGCTGACTTTTCACTTGACGAAGGCTCTGACAATCCTCGCACGAAGGTGTTTGCTTTTTACGCTGTACACAATCGGATTTATCAGAGGGGGGGCCAACAGGTAGACATAGCCCAGGAGAACCTGAAGCAAGTGAGAAGAGTCCTTCCCAAATCTATGGATCACAGGCAACCCAATAACAGGTGTGTAGAAGAGCAAGACAGCGCAGAGGTGGGAGACACAGGTGTTCAGGGCCCTGAGGGATTCCAGAGAGGATGCAAAGCTCAGCACTGTTTTGAGGATCTTCATGTAAGAGAGGAAAATGATCAGTGAGTCCAACCCAAAGGTCAAGATAGCAATGAATAAGCCATAGATGTTGTTGACGGTGATGTCGGTGCAAGCCAATATCATGACGTCCTGGTGCAGGCAGTAGGAATAGGAGAGGACATTGGTTTGACAATATCGGTGCCGTTTCAGGAGAAAGGGGAGTGGGAATGTTAGAGCCATTGCTCTTAGCACACACACCAGCCCCATCTTGGCTATTCTTGGCAGGGTTAAGATGGAAGCGTATCTCAGTGGGTCACGGATTGCAACAAAGCGGTCAAAGGCCATTAACAAGAGCACAGAAGATTCAAGTAATGTAAGCGAGTGGATGAAGAACAGCTGGGCAAAACAGGCATCAAGGCTGATCTCTCTAGAGTTAAACAAGTATATGCCCAGTATTGTCTTTATGGTGGATGTTGATAAGCCAAGATCAGTGAGGGCCAACATGGAAAGGAAAATGTACATGGGCTCATGGAGGCTTGGATCTGTTTTTATAATGAACAGAATGACTGAATTTCCTACTGTCGAAATAACATATATAAAGCAAAAGGGGATAGCGATCCAGAGATGGACATCTTCCTGTCCAGGTATCCCAGAGAGAAGGAACAATGAAAATTGGAATTTGGTGTTATTGACAGCTGACATAATGTACTCAACAGTTCCAAGGTGTTTTGAACTTTCCTTCCTGAAAAGGAAACAGAACAGGAGACTGGATGACATTTAAAGAGACATGTGTCTATTCTCCCAAGAAAGATCAGCAAATACATAGTCTTGGATTTACACCAATGGTAGGAAGATTGGATCAAACCTGCAGTCCATCTACCCAGTACAGGGGGTCCTCACTATAAGACCAAGATATGTTCCAAAAAACTTGGACTTAGAGTGAAACAACTTAAACGGGATTTTTTTTTCCCACGGCTGACTTTCACTTAAACAAATTGGGGGGTGTTTTGCACGATTGATCACGGGGAATGGGAGGACTTATAACGCATCAGTTCCTACAAATGTCAATGACTTTAATGTAGAATGGATATATATCAGGGTGACTTATAGCAGGGAGCCCCTATATCTCCTGGCCAGTATCAGATAGTTCAGTGGCAGGTCTACAAAACCCTGCAACAGGATGCTATGAGAAAACCTGCTCCCAGGGAAAGTTTCTCCCCGACACACATATGAGACATATTCTGTGGTGCAAATCAGGTGCATTCTCAGTAGTGTATTTGGATTTTCTGATTAGTCACATAAGCATGTGGGTTCTCTTTGAATCCTACTAAATTTATGACCCATTGATATTTTGGGGCTGGGAGTTCCACAGCCTGCTTCAGGGCCATGTGATTTTACAGTTCTAGCCTTCCCCTCAGAAGATTTTACAGTTTTCTGGCCTCTCCCCTGCTGAGTGTGACACGTTGTATCATGGGATGTAAAAACAAAGAGCAAATGAATGGTGAGAACAGCCCTTATATTTATCTATCCTGCACTGACTCTATTTATAGACATGTTTGATGGCCTCCTTATATGTATATTTTATTTTCTCCATTTCTGAGTGTTCAAATTATGCCACTGCCTCTTTGAAGAGCAGGTGATAAATTCTTAGGTCCATGTTCTTGTTTCCATAACAGTGAGTTCAATGGCCTCACTCCAGATTTCCCTGTGCAAATTGGATCAGAACCAGATGTTATTCACTTTCCCTTACCAAATACTCCCAGTGACACACTCTGATCCCCCCAAGAATCCCTCCAGGAGAAGCTGAAGGGCTTTGCCTGCTTAGACTCCAGAGAATTAGATAATACTACAGGCCTCTTCTCTTCCTCACAAGACCTGCAACCTCTCCCCATCCAAGTGTATGTAGATATCTGGCAAGTCACAAGCTAACATAGATAGTTACTTCAGCTGGTGGGGGCAGGGAAGGTATAATGGGTGAATAGTGTAAATATTAGGTCCAGCTGAGTGCAAGCTCCTTCCTCCATCCTCCCTGTAAGAGGTGATGGGTGCCAATTACAAAGAACCATTATTACACTCCACTTTCCTGAACCTCAGCTCTCTACATTTTGCTGCTACACAGACTGGTAGGCTCTCTCAAGGGATTTTGGGATATCTTCGACAAGCCCTGAAGAGCGATTAAATGCATGACTCGGAATGCAGGTGCTAGCAACAGCTTCCGCTCAGTTACCACAAATGAATATGATAAAAGTGTTCACTGAATAAAAGTACTAATATCACCAAACCCTTGAGGGTACTAAGGCAATAGAATGGGATTCCTAGGAAGTTGGCACAATCTCCATCTTTATAGGTTTTTAAGGCCTGGATGGGATGACTTAGTTGGGGTTGGCCAGGACGACCTCCTGCAGTCTCTTCCAACATGAACATTCTGTTTCTGGGAATCTAGAATTCTGCACTTCTGAAATACTTCCCAAAGCCCAAACCCGTAAGCAGTAACGTTACCACTGCTGCGTCCTGTGGCGCTTCCTCTAGAGCCCTGCCTCTGGCTTTCCACACACGTTCTTATCATGAGCGGTTAGTCTGTGCTATTCGTAGTACAATGAAGAGTTCTGGCACAACACTTACAAGCCTGGACTTTGCACACAGACATTGACACAGTCTCCGCCCTCTCATCTTCCTCATTCCTCAGGCTAGAGTGTGATTTAAAATGTAGCACTGGCCATCTGGTTCTTCAGAACCTAAGACAGTCCCAGCGTCTCAGCCCTCAGTCAATCACGGGTCAGCAAACTCAACTCTAGTAACTCCTCTGTCCCTGGGTAGATGGCTGAGTGGTTCTCCTCAGGTTCAGTTCTGTCAGTCTCCAGATTGTATGCTGAATGGTAACAGGTACTGGGGGCAGTATAGGAAATATTCATCCTTTGACCTCTCACTCTCTGGTACACAATGACCCCAGCTCCTGATATGCAGGCATGATGAGAGTTTGCTGGAAATGGATTTCAAAGCCAAATGGATGAGCATTCATGGAAAGGACAATTAGTTTCAAACCTGAGAGCAATCTAGTACTGTCTCTCGTTGAACCTGCCTACGTGCTCTACTCATAAAGTACCTGGCATGTGGGAAATGCCCTGGGACAGACGCGGAGCTGAGCTGCCACAGTGGACGTGTCTGTTAAACCCAGCCCATGGGATGTTTGCGGCACAGTGAGATTGGGGGCACTGTTTAGGATGTTTATGTTATGGCTGTATTAGGTGAAACCAATATTTCTCTGGATAGTTTAATATCAGGTGGCTGGAAACCACCCAAGGGAGGTCATGAATCAACACGGGTGCTAAAAGCTCTTAGAGCTTCTTTCTGGGGTCCGGACATGTAGCTGAATTCACAATGCTGAGAAGCTCTTCAGACTGGCTGCCACGGTCACCAGTGGGGAAATCTGAGTGGGTCCCTGTCACAGTGGGAGTGTCTGGGATCAAAGATATGGACAGACTTGTTTGAAATCCCTCTTATCCACCCACGTTACACTATATTATGTATATTCTTGCTGTTCGATTCGACGGTACACGTTGAACGTCTCTAGTCCAGAACTCTCTGATCCAGAAACATCTGTGGTCCAGCATGATTTTAGTTAGCTGGATGTCCACTTTTCAGGGGTGTTGGCAAGTTTTTCAAGGTCCCATAAAATTTCTTTACAGCCACCCATCCTGGCTCTCAGGGCTCTGTGCTGTTATTTAGCTCTAATTTACCCCTAAATGTCTTCTAAGTGTCCAGTGAGCTGTGGGCGTGCTGGTAATGCTGCTAGACAATAATGAGCTTGCACAATCTGGCAAATTCTCTGGTTTGGCACCGCTATGGTCCCAAGGGTGCCAGACTAGAGAGGTTCAACTTGTATTTTGGTTCAGGAAGTCTGGCTGGCCACAAGTCTAATCACTGATCACTGGCTCCCAAAAGGAAGAACTACAGGTTTGGAGCTCACAAGTGTCTGCTGGGCAAACACAGTTGACCCAGAGTGTGCTGTAGCCCAGGGGCAAATCTGAGGGTGAGAGGGTCATGGGATTACACCCCATGATCAGGGGGAGGTACTCATGGGTAGGTCTTATATGTGGTACTCAGAGAGCTGAGAGGGGCAGATATGCTGGTAGTCTTGCATCTCTCAGGGGCAGAAGTCCAGGTGCTCTCATCTAACAGTAACTTGGAGTGGTGTGTACAGTGTAGGAGTGCTGGAATCCTCAGCCAGTCAGGAAACACAAATTCACCCTTTCAGACCTGTTACCACAGAGCAACACGGCAATGAATTGCTGCCCTCACAATCAGAGCAGAGACTAAAACAGCATCAAGCCAATGAACATGCATTTGCTGATTAAATTTCCAGGAGTAAATAAACCTGAGGCAATTTGGGAACTAGTCACTGATATTCTGTGGGGCCCCCTCTCCCTCAGCTCCTGACAGGATTGGGACCTGAGCACAGGACACCTTCAGAAATTGTGGCCTCTTCAGAAGTTCTGCTGAGGGAACCACCATGGGGCCACCATTTTACCACCATGGGGCCACTTTCAATGTCAGATTTTTGTGCAGCTTCACCAGCTCCTGTAGAACATGGGTGGATGCAAGGAAGGGGTTCCCAAACTGCCTGCCCCCCCAGTCCTGTCACTGAGTCAGCCCGGCGGAGTCCTCTGCCGCTGCACAGAACAGTTGCCAATGCAAACAGCCTGCAGCCTTCGCCCTGAACTTGGCATGTTACAGACAGGGAAACCCACCAACGTACCCAGTTCCTGCTAGAAGGGAGTCGCTGGCACCAGAGGTCTTCACTCTAAAGTAGAAGGAGTCACCGGAGAGGTTGCATGGGCAGCAGGCAGTGTGTGTTCAGACAGGGAGGTGGCTGCCTTTATGTAGCATATTTGTACCTTCCCTTGGGGCCACTTGGCCATCAGGGAACCTCAGCTGCTTTTCTAGCTTGTTGTGAGCATTTCTAAAACTTAAGTGCAGCCACTTTAAAGAAAAAATGTGGCCAGGGCAGGCGCTCTGGGTGAGAGCTCTCCCAGCACTCTGTGTAAACCACCCATGTTTCACAGAGCTGCTATTTGCTGCATTCGGGGTGGGGATACACCCCTGTGCCAGAAGGATTGTGCAGAGATGCAACATGGGTAGGCTCTACTGGAATCTGGGCTTGTCAGCTCTGTTCATGTAGTTCTGATTAGTCACGTGGTTCCCTTGGTTGTGGCCAAGTTTTAACTGTGATGCTTGCTGAAATAGTCATTATAATTATAATGGGCTGGATTTCTCCCCTGTAGCCTCATTTCCTACATTAGAAACCCAGGTGCAGAAAATGGAAGGGAAAATCCACAAGGCCCTGCACAGGGAACTTCCTTAGGATCTTTATATTAATATATATTCTCTTGCCTTCTCCATGAAGAATGAAAAAGGGGACCCAGGATCGCAGGGTCCCCAAAGTGAATTCTGTCCCCAGGATATACAGATGTTAGACTAGATCAATGGTTCTCAAACTCCTTTTGATCACCCCTCTTCTTTGTGTCTCTATGGGTATGTCTACAATGCAGAGTTGTTTTGGGGAAAATGGCCATTTTTCTAAAAAAATACTTCACTTACGTCCACACTGCAATCACATTATTTTGAAAAAAATCGAAAGAACAGAGGGGCTTTGAAACAAAAAAGAAAGAAGCCTGTTTCTGAAAGAGTTCTTTTGGGTAAAG